CTCTTGTGCGCAGGAAGAAGTTCCTCAGACAGGAAGTGAAGAGCAGTACTTTGGGAAGCCCTGCTGCTGCTGCTGCTGCTGAGCTTCTAGAGCACTTGCAGTCCAGATACTGGATCTCTGCTCACCTGCACTTGACTCAACACTGATGCAGCACCAGGTGGGTCCTCCTTCACTGTCACTCTGTGCTGTTGACAAACGAAAACTTTTAGTTACCTTGGATTGAGCCTGTTTCACACACTACATGGCTCATGTAGTGACAATCATTGTAATATGAAGTCAAAATTATTAGCCCTCCTGTACATTTCTTTTCTTATTCAAATGATGTTTATTAGAAGAAGGAATTTATCACAGTATTTCCTTTTTTTCTGGGTAAAAAAAAACACTTTGGATCAATATTACTAGTTTTCTTAAGCAATATTGTTTTCGATTGTCTACAGACCAAACCACTGTTATACAATGACTTGCCTAATTACCTTAACTTGCCCAGTTAACCTAATTAACCCAGTAAAGCCTTTAATTGGCACTTTAATCAGAAATTTTGGTCCATATTGACATGATAGCATCATGAAAGCAGTTGCTGCAGATTTGTCAGCTGCACATCCATGATACGAATCTCCCATTCCACCACATCTCAAAGGTGCTCTATTGCATTGAGATCTGGTAACTCTGGAGGCCATTTGAGTACAGTGAACTCATTGTCATGTCTGACATGTTTCCAGTCTGAGATGATTCGCACTTCAAGACATGGCATGTTATCCTGCTGAAAGTTGCCATCAGAAGATGGGTACACTGTGGTCATAAAAGGATGGTCATGGTCAGCAACAATATTCAGGCAGGCTGTGGTGTCAACAAGCTGTTTGTCCCTTCAGGGTAAGAATAATGAATAATGCTGCCCTGAAGATCAGCAAGTTTCTCTCACATGACGAATTTCTTCCTTAAGATATTGATCCTGCTGTTTCCGTCATCCAGCATGTTTCAGTATGAAGTGAGATCCAGAAGTAGATTCAGTTGTTTTGTCATTGCAGATTGCAGATTGCAGAGGAAGCTCCTACGTGAAGCTCGAGCTTGATCCAGAATGGCTGGCCATCCTGAAACGACCTTCGAAAGCCATCCCGCAGTTTCTGGAACCCTCCGCTGGACAACAGACTACACAGCAGAGACAAAATACATTACAATGATCACAGCTGTTCATTTTCTGATAGCTTGCTGATACCATATTCAATTCCATTTCTACGTATTTTAGCATCCTGTTCCTCTGCTTCTTTCAGGTGGGATTTCAGTCCATCTACATCCTGCTGGGCAAAGCGGACAGACTTACAGGGAGGAGTTTATTCAGCCTTCTTTGATGACTAGAATATTTAGAAAAACTGGATTTGTCGGAATTAAAAATGTAAGACATTATAAATGACTTTATCCTCACTTTTGTTCAATTTAAAGTGTACTTGCTAAATAAAACTTTTAATTTCACAATGTTCTTTGACAAAAAACTCACTTTAAGTTATTCAACATTGTAATATGATGTTACAAAAGCTTTTGATCTCAGATAAATACTGCTATTTGAATATGTTTAACATCAAATAAAAAAGTACTCAAGTGTTAAAAAAATTGATAATAATAATAATAGTAATAATAATAATAATAATAATAATAATAATAATAATAATAATAATAGGACTGTTTTTGCTGTGCTTTGGAGTAAATGCAGGTTTGGTGAGCCTGTTTATTTTTTCAACACATTTCTAAACATAATAGTTTGTTCTGTAGACTACCGAAAAAAATAGCTTAAAGGGGCTAATAATTTTGACCTTAAAATAGTTTATAAAAATTTAAAACTGCTTTTATTCTAGCCAAAATAAAACAAATAAGACTTTCTCCAAAAGAAAAAATATTATCAGACATACTGTGAAAATTTCTATGCTCTGTTAAACATCATTTGGCAAATATTTAAAAAAAGAAAAAAAATCAGTTTTTAGACATGGTCCTGTCTCTAGAGGTGTTAAGATGTCAATTTACCGACCTTGATTTTCAGACAGCATTATTGTTTATGACAGTTGCCATTTTCTCAAAAAATGCTCTAAAAGACATAATTTTTATTTGAAATTTTGAAGAAATGTTATCAGACCTTTTTGGAATAACATGCTTAATAAATCCAGACAAACTGACTCATTTGTCTCTTATTTCTTCTTTCTTATTGGTCAACTGTATTTAATTGGGATGGTTATAAATAAAGTCTATTCATTGTTATCAGCATCATTAAAGATAACATCAAACCAAAATATTAAATAACTCATGAAAGAGTTGTGATTCCTTAATCAAATGACAAATGTATGCCTAGGTCACAAAAATAAATTTCCACATATAAAAATAAAAGACAGAATTAAAAAATTGTGAATATTTTACTGCCATTCTTCATGTGTGAGCGGCCGCCACCAAATGAATCTATTTGGCTGGAGACTTCTTTCACTTAGATAGATTTTTAGAGGTTATAAACAGCTTGTTATGCTGCTTGATGTTCTGATGTTTTCTTATTATTTTATTCCACTTTTTATGTACAGTCATGAACACGGTTGTTTGTAGAGCAAGTAGTTAGACCATTTTCTGCCATTAGTTATTTCTCCTATAGGCAATTAAATCTGAAGTTCTAAAACAATTGCAAAAATGAGCACTGCAGCATAAGGTCAATAGTGTTGTCCCTTGGGAACACATGTTAAATACTAAGTTCTGTGAGATACTGAATACAGGAATTCTTAAAGATTCTAAATATCTATGCACTTGCCCGGTTATTGTTTCTGACTGATGTCAAAATTGTATAATTCTGAACATAAAAATGCCGCAGGCTCAACTCAGGTGAAAACACTGAAGAGGAACCAGAATGAAGGAGAGGACCAGAGAGAGACCCAGCGCTCCTGACAGAACCCGGCACAGCAATCCCTCTGATTCCAGCTGAAGATACAATACATACAACAGTCAACAAGATCACACACCTTCACTCCTAAGTTATTTAACTGACCGAAAGCTTACACTCTTAAAAGAAACGGTTCTATATAGAACCAAAAATGGTTCTTTCAAACGCTTCATATATGGAACCCCAAAAGATTAAAAATAGAACCATTTAAGGGTTCATTAAATAGATCCCCAAATGGTTCTTTCAAGCGCTTCATATATGGAACCCCAAAAAGGGTTATAACTAGAACCATTTGAGGGTTCTTTATTTATTATTGAATTAATGTTATTTATTTTTGAATAAAAAATAAAACCAATGCAGAAAATTCAAATTGTTTAAATTTATTCAATTTACTTCACAAAATAAGTTTTAAATAATATTTAAAATTGCACCTCTGCGTACTTTGTATAAGATCTACCTCTTAACATTATACATTTTTAATATTTAATTAGTAAACATAATTAACAGCTTAATGGCATTCAAAAATCTAATTCTAATGATTTCACTTTTTATTAAACATTTGTAAGCTTGTTTACTGATTGAACAAATACAAAACTTAACTTTCAAACATCTCTAAAATGATGAAAAATTTATTACAATGCAGATAGAAACAATACACAAACATCTATTAAATAACACTACAATTTCAACAAGTTGACGGTACATACATGTACTGGTCATGGCAACATCCATTTTTATACATAATTTTCAATAAAAGTTATTGAAGAAAGTGCTTAATGGCACACAAAACTTTGCAAAATGATTAAACAAAACACTGAGAACAGCCATTCCACAACCTGTAACATGTCCATGTTTGCCGGCCTCTCTTATAACGTAAATAGTTTTGTCTATGGGTGGCACAGTGGCTCACTGGTTAGAACTGTCACATCACAGCAAGAAGGTCACTGGTTCGAGTCCTGACTGGGTCAGTTGGTGTTTCTGTGTGAAGTTTGCAAGTTCTCCCAGTGTTTGTATGGGTTTCCTTTGGGTGCTCCAGTTGCCCCCACAGTCCAAAGGCATGCGTACAGTATTGGTGAATTGGCCATAGTAAGTGAATGTGTGCAGGTGTATGAGAGAGTGTATGGGTGTTTCCCAGTGCTGGGTTGCGGCTGGAAAGTGAAGAGTAATTGCTTATTCATTCTACTGTGGTGCCTCTGATAAATGAGGGAGCAGAAGGATAGTGAGCGAGTGTTGGCCATCGTAATGCTGACACTTCAAGCTTTGACGGAATCAGGAGAGCTGTTAGGACCTTTGGATTTCTGTAAAACAATATTTCAATGCTGAGTACTTCCTTCTTTCCTTCCCTTCTATTGGGCCATTTCTTTTAAAGATGTTTCTGTGTTCTTCACTAAGTCCTTATATGCAGCATCCTAAATTAAAACATTTTGTTTACTTTGTGTAAGTTTCCTAGTGACACATTTTTAGCAATACAAGTACTTTAAAGTAATCAAAAATACAGAAATACAGTGTAGACAGCTGTAATATATTTTCTATTTAATCTGCATTTCATTTGTTACAGAATTTAATGAAATTGACATTTCTGAGTGACCTCAATTTAGTATGAACATTAAATAAAACAATAAAATTAGAATAAGAACAAAACTAAATAATTGTTTATCAAATAACATACATCATATTTGGCAGATACTTTTATCCAAAGGGACGTAGATTGTGTTTAATCTATACATTTATTAATATGTGTGATCTGGAACACATTTGGCATTGCTAATGCATTGCTTTACCAAATGAGCTTTAAAATGTCATATACACAGATTTTTCATATCTATTTGGCACACAATGTAACAGTGTTTGGTTACTCACAAGCTGTGGCACTCCAATAAGAAGAAACTGCTCCATTACTTTTGCAGACCCCTCCATAATCTGTACTCTGGAAAATAGTGTGTTTCATTTGGTTCTTGACTTATTCGTAAACGATGTCGCATTCTAGGTCCATCACAATCTGAGGTAAGAAGACAGCATTTGTAGAATGTGTAAATATGAATTTAAATCACAGAATTAATCTTGACATAAAATGTATTGAAATGAACTTGCCTTGTGTTAAGTCCCTCAGAGTCCAGTTCACTTCCTTTTGATCCCATCATATGAGCTCACCACTGAAATCCTTTCATTTTTACATTTGTTTTGAAGACATTGCAACAAGGAATCCTGTAGCCAAATTTACACCTTTCAATACATATTTCTTCTCTGCAGGACTTTTTTTAAGCAACGACCTTAATATTCCTACTGTATTAAAACAGCAGTAGTAAGTAATAGAATATTTTTTTGATGAATATATTTTTTCAGTACACAACAACCAACAAGTCTGAATTATGCATGTTATAAAATACAATACTTTACCAGGTGTGCTTGAAGATGATGTCAAACAAATATGGATGTGACTTGTGTTTTTCTTTAAGCTGCATGGGATCCTTCTTCTTCAAAGCTACTTGTGTGCAGCAGATCAAATTTGGAAACTTAATATGGGTCCCATGACACTTTTCTGTAATGATAAATACAATCTTGAAGTCTTTTATAATATTTATTTCATTTTACTGACCACAATACAGTTTGTTTGGATTTTAAAACAATGATACATACCAAGCACAAGTTTTATGATGCAGTTCAGTTTCCAGGCTGTTTGAAGAAAAATAAAATATACATTAAAATATTTATTTTAAACTTATTTTGCACTATATATATATATATATATATATATATATATATATATATATATATATATATATATATATATATATATATATATAT